CCCCCTGCACGCCAGAGTTAGTGAATGGGGGAAGCATCTATACAGCAGCATGGCTGCTGAAGGCAGAGCCATAGCCCTGTGAGAGAGGGGGCAGTCTCCACAGAGCCTTTCTGTCTGTGGGAGAAACCACACTTGATTCATCCACTGTGTTAAGGCAGCATTCGAAAAAGCCCATTCCTGCTTATTTTCTAGCCCAATTCCCAAGTCCTGGTGGGCTCTTCTTGTTTACTTTCCACCTGTTGGACTTCAGGAGCACAGATAGGGGAAGGGTTGGCTGTCCGTATCCAGATCCCATAGGGTGCAGAGTCCTGGTTGGGAGATGGGATTCTCATGGCCCATGCAATGGTCCACAGCCCACTTTTCCAGAGGGCGGGGTCATCATCTCCTCCCTGAGCTCTCTGTTTCATCAGTGGACCCAATGGACTGCCAGCAATTGGCTCAGAGGCCCTGCCATCACCCACACTTGTGCTAAGTTCAAAGTTGTCATCTCTTTTTTTAATATCACATTCATTCTCCAAGGACAAGACCCTTCTGTGTAAGATGATTGGTTTAATCTTATCATTTAGACAAATCTGGCTACAGTGAAATACTGGAAAGAAAAAAATTGGCAACATTGATGTAGCTTATGAAAGCAAGCTGGGAAGACTAATGAGTAATTCCAACACTAAAGACTATGAAGTGTCAGCATTGTACTTGAGTGGTGAAGATATTAAAATTTTAATATGTTTGGTGCTGTATTTTTTAAAGGTTTATTTATTTAACAAACAGTTACAGACAGGGACAGAGAGAAAGGTCTTCCATCTATTGGTTCACTCCCCAAATGACCACAATGGCCAGAGCTGAGCCGATCCAAAGCCAGTAGCTTCTTTTGGGTCTCCCACTTGGGCTATCTTCTACTGCTTTCCCAGGCCACAGCAGGGAGCTGGATCAGAAGAGGAGCAGCTGGGACTAGAACCAGCACTCACGTGGTATGCCAGCGCTGCAGGCAGAGGCTTAGCCCACTATGCCACAGCTCCTCACACTCCGATCCCCCCCCCAAAAATTTAACTACTGCTGCTTGAACTTCTGGAGCTTGCTATGGAGTCCAGGGTCATAGGAAGCCTTTTTTCCTTTCTCTCACCGAGTACTTCCTAGGTATTTTGCATGGTATTATCTCATGTAAGTCTTAACTTTCTGAGGCATATACTGTCACTGTCTCCAGCTTCAGATAAGGAAACTAATTCAGAGATATTAAGTAACTTGCTGAAGATCAAACATATAGTGACAGCTAGATCCAAGGCCCAAACATGTCTATATCCAAGCCCCATGCATTGTAAAGCCCTAAAGAGGCCTTGGAACAGTAGTGATCAAAGTGAAAAACAGAAAAAAAAATCCAGTAAACTACAAATTTTTAATATTGATTTTATTTTCATCTATTTGAAAGGTGGAGAGACAGAAAGATCACTTCTATCCACTAGTTCACTCCCTACGAGCCTGAAACAGCCAGTGCCTGGGCCAGGCTGAAACCAGAAGCCTGGAAGGCCATCCAGGTCTCCCATGTGAGTGTCAGTGACCCAAGCACTTGACCCATCATCTGCTGCATAAGCAGATGCATAAGCAGGAAGCTGGATTGGAAGTGTGGAGTAGCTGGTACCTAAACCAGACGATAGAGGATGCAGGAGTTCCAATTGGCTGCGTAGCCCATTAGTCACATACTTGCTCTGATAGACAACAAACTTTTAAAAATTAAAAACCCAACTGTCTGTTAAAAAAATTATTCTTTTATTTGAAAGGCAGAGTGACAAAGAGAGAAAGACCTTCCATCCACTGGTTTACTCTTCCAAAGGCTGCAACAGCCAGGGCCAGGCCCAGTGGAAGTGAGGCGAGGCTTCCGGGGCAGAGAGAGAAGGTCATACAGAGGAGTCCTGATTCTGACAGCAAAACCTGACAAAGCGTGAACACTGGGACCCCATGTGGACATGAATCTCCCCAGCATTTAAAAGAACACTACAGCCTGGGGCTTTCTCCATGAATGCAAAAGTAGCTCAACAGAAACCAATCCATTACCATAGAGAGCAAGCAGGATGGGGAAGAAAAAGGGGTCACTGACAGATTCTGAGAAAAAGCATTAATAGAATTTCGTGCTACAGTCCAACTTTTCAAAGAAAATCTTAGCCTTAAGGGGCCGGCACTGTGGTGTAGTGGGTTAAGCCCCTGCCTGTGGCACTAGCATCCCAGATGGGCATGGGTTCTAATCCCAGGTGCTCCAAATCTGATCCAGCTCTCCGCTAATGGCCTGAGCAGGCAGGAGAAGATGGCCCACATGCTTGAACCCCTGCACCCACGTAGGAGACCCAGAAGAAGCTCCTGGCTTCCGATCAGCCCAGCTCTGCTCACTGTGGCTATTAAAGGAGTGAACTCGTAGATGGGAGACTGATCTCTCTCCCTCCTCCTTCTCCCTGTAACTCTGCCTTTCAAATAAAAAATAAACAAATCTTTATTTGACTAGGAAGTGACTGAAACAGCAAAATGTGGTTGAGGTGGGCATTGCTGTATGTAAAGCAAAGCAATCAATAACCACAAAAAACAAGACACGGCTTATCATGTAGTATAGAATCCTGAGGCAGTAGAAGCCTCCAATAAGAAACAAAACAAACAGAAATGTTAGAATCAGAAGGCCAATTCAAACATTTAAAATTGTTGCATTTAAAAGAAAAACAAAGACAAAGGAGATGATGAGTTCCCAACTTGGAATAACGTTTGCTGCTTATGCGAAGATAGGGCAGAAATGCCCAAGAGCAATCGTGCACACAATCCTTAATGAGCTCTCCTTTTTTTCAAAAAGGAATAGTAGGGGTGGGTGCTGTGGCATAGCATGTAAAGCTGCTGCCTGCAGTGCTGGCATCCCATATGGGCTGCTCCATTTCCGATCGAGCTCTCTGCTATAGCCGGGGAAAGCAGCAGAGGATGGCCCAAGTCCTTGTGCCCCTGTACCTGCATGGGAGACCAGGAAGAAGCCCCTAGTTCCTGGGTTCTGATTGGCCTAGCTCTGGCCATTGAGGCCATTTGGGGAGTAAACAAGGGGATTGGAAGACATCTCTCTCTCTCTCTCTCTCTCTCTCTCTCCCCCTCCCTCCCTCTGCCTCTAACTCTTTCAAGTTTTATATATATAGGAATAGTACAAGGGCAAGCATTTAGGCAGCAATTAAGGCATGGCTTTGGATACCCACATCCCATGTCAGAGTGCCTGGGTTTGAGTCCTGACTCTGCTCTCCAGTGCACATTCCTGATACTGCCCAGCCTGGGAGGCAGCAGGCGATGGCTTGAGTAGTCGAGTCCCTGCCACCCGCATGGGAGATCTGAACCGAGTTCCAGGCTCCCAGCTTTGGCCTGGCCCTGCCCCAGATTGTCGCGTCCCTCGACCAGCAAGGAAGACACGACCCGAACTCTTCTTCCAGCAGTTTATTCAGGAACCTCTTTCAAACTTTTGAATCTCGCGCCCTTTTTTCTCCCCTCCCTCTTATAGCCATCCGCGCACCAATCAAAAGCGGCCAAGTGGCAAGCATTGATTGGTACAGCAACGCGGAAGCCGGAAGGGAGCTCAAACATCTCCTTATTAGGAGATGTTTGTTTCTCGCCAGTCCTTCCGGGGGAAAGGAGCCGGCGCCATCTTTAGGGTGCCGTGCAATGGCTCCCCACAGTTCCCCCTTTTTGTTTTAGAACTAGGCATCTAAGGATTACAGGAGAAGGTAGGGGTCTGTCCCCCACTGCCAGGCATCCACCTGGAACAGCATCCTTTTCGTGGGGGTGGGATCTGGGATGCCAACCCACATGCAGACAGACTTGCCTTCCAGAGAACGTAATGGCTCGTTCTCTCTGCAGTGCTTTGCCTCGCACCCTGCACCCATGCCTAGCATTCAAGGAAGGCCAGCCATGCTTGCGGCAGTTGTCCAGCCTCAAGGGCATAAAAGGCTTGAGCTATCATGGCCAATTCCCGCCAATGAGCTGTCCTCATCCTGCACAAACACCACAGGCAAAATAACACAACAAGTAACAGCAACCCCGTCAAAGCTCCAAGTCCCACCCACTCCTTCAGGCTGGAGACAGCTGGATCTGGGATGACAGTCCAGATGCGAAGGAGACATCCACACGCGTGGAGTTGATGGTGACCACAGCAAGGCGCAGTTGCTCCAAGGTGTAGTCAAATTCCGCGGACCAATTCAGCATCGGCTTTGGGAATAGTGATAGAATCTCCCATCTCTGCTCCGCCAGTGTCCGCTGCATGTGAGGCAGAAGTATCAAAAGCAACAGCAGGATTCTCCTCGTGGCAGACCCGCCTGACCGCTCGCTCCGGAACCCACACCGGGTCATGTTGATCCTGTGGAAAAACACAAACAGCACCTCGTGCCCATGCCAGCACGGGATCAGGGCCACGCCACTGGCCCGTCAAGAGATCTTTCCATTTTACCAACCCTCTACTTGGGTTTCCTTGTTGCTGATGCCTGTCCGCGGCTGAGTGCCCATGCACATCCAAATTTAAAAAATTAATTGTAAATAAGACTAAGGCAATTCTCTCTCTCGGGGTGCGGCTATAGCCAACTCCCCCTTTTTGTTTTAAAAGATATTCTTTCAGTGTGCGGTGTGCTCGCTCAATTATGCCCTGGCCCTGAGGATTGTATGGCAATCCATGGACAAGTTGAACCTCCATTTTTTGGCAATAGGTGGTAAAGGTTTGAGATGTATAGGCCGGGCCATTATCAAGGGAGCTCAAACATCTCCTTATTAGGAGATGTTTGTTTCTCGCCAGTCCTTCCGGGGGAAAGGAGCCGGCGCCATCTTTAGGGTGCCGTGCAATGGCTCC